AGCCCTGAGCAAAAAAAAGACAAAAGCCAAGTAGGGCTGGGATGTAGCTCAGTGGCAAAGCACTTGCCTAGCAAGTGCAACGTCCTGGGTTCAATCCCTGCTACCAAAAAAGAAAAGAAAAGGGGGCTGGGAAAGTGGCTCAGTGGTAGAGCACTTGCCTTGCATGCCTGAGGCCCTGGGTTCGATTCCTCAGTACCACATAAGCAAAAAGATAAAAGCCGGAAGTGGCGCTGTGGTTCAAGTGGTAGAGCGCTAGCCTTGAGCTGAAGAGCTGAGGGACAGTGCCCAGGCCCAGAGTTCAGGCCCATGACCAGACCCCCCCCCCCCAAAAAATAAAAAGCTAAGTAAGAGCTGAAGCCCCATTACTGGTACACATTCACAAAAATAATGTATATGAAAAAAAATGTTCACAAATACAATGAGAAATAGAAAAGAGTAGCATAGAAAGTCTCCAGGAAGGCTGGGAATGTGGCTCAGCAGTAGAGTGCTTGCCTAGCATGCATGAAGCCCTGGGTTCAATTCCTCAGTACCACATACAGAGAAAAAGCCAGAAGTGGGGCTGTGGCTCAAGTGGTAGAGCACTAGCCTTGAGCAAAAGAAGCTCAGGGATAGTGCCCAGGCCCCCAAGACTGGCAAAAAAAGAAAGTCTCCAGGATCCCATGGTGGAGAAAGACATTTGCAGATAGTAAAGTGGCTAGAAGGGTCAAGGTCAAGGCTTCAAGGTCAACACAGTGTTTTGGTTCTTTTGTTGTTGGGTTTTTTTTTTTTACACTTTTTTATTAGCATTAACTAGTTGTAGAAGGGCATTGCACTTTGGGCATGCAATGTTCCTGGATCAGCCTCTCCAACTCCATTATCTACAAAGATTTTTAATTGTCATTGTTTTGTGGTTACTGGAGATTGAACTCAGGACACAGGATATGGTGGGCAAATGCTCTACCACTTGAGTCTCGCTATGTTTATCCTGGCTTGACAAGATCTTCCTGCCTCTGCTTCCCAAGTAGATGGAGTGCAGATTGTATTTTTCTCTTGATAGTGTTATTTACTAGAGGATCCTCACCCTTAGTTTTGGCTTCTATGTTTGTATGGGGTTTGAACTCAGGGTCTTATACTTGCTAGACAGGAGCTCTACCACTTTAGTCACATCTTGGCCCTTTTAGCTTTAGTAATTTTTTTCAAATACCATGTTGCATTTGTTTGCCAGGCTGGACCTTGATCCCTTGTAGTTGAATTGACTGTAATGAGCCAATACATCCAACTTATTTGAGCTGAAAGTCTTGCTAACAACTTTGCCCAGGCTGGCTCCAAACTACAATCCTTTCCATCTTTGCTTCTCAAGTAGCTGGAGGTTACACATGTGAGCCACCACACCCAGCTCACCTGTGCGTTCAAAATAGAAACCTGTGTTTATTTTGGACAGAAAAGTGTTTTACAACATCAGATGTAAGATAAATTTTGTAATTCTCACTGTTACGTTTTCCCACGCAGGCAGCTTATGGAGCAATTGTCCATTTCAGGAACAATCCAAGGGCCGTAACTTCACTCCTAGATAATCTTTTCGTGGTTTCTGGGATAGTTAAGCTTCACAAAAGAATAATTTTCTGTAATGTTTATGGGACATTTTACATTTCTCTCAAACTTGCCCCTCAGCCATTCCCTGCTGACAAACCTTCCAGCTTGACATGAATTTTAAGTTTTAAGAAAGTTTATTTTGTACTCTTTTTTTAATTATGTATTTTATTTTTGTAGTCTTTAAGGCATTAGCTCACAAACAAGCACCTTGAAACCCACAGTGACTAAAATCCTACCTCATCCCCAGGATTCAAAATACCTACCGCCTCTTCCTGTGAGTTTCCTTCTATGTCTCCTTGCTGTATCCCAGTTTCAGGCGTTTACATTTAGGTCTGATCTGCTTTCTTCAGACCATGTTTGCTTGTTTTCACTTCTCAAGGCCAGAAAAAGCATAGAATTTAGACTAAAAGTTGTCCAAGTACTTCAGTCTTTTCCCCAAAGTCTCTATCCTACCCCAGTTTGCTCCCTGTCTTCCGGCTCAAGTTCTCCTGGACATTCTCCTCATGTTCATGCTTCTTCCTTGTCTACCTCTACCCAATTCACTTTATATTCTGTGTCCAAGGCCCCGTCCTCTATAAAGCCTGTCTGGAACACTCAAGTCCTCAATGATCCCTCTGATCCTTGACCTTAGAACCTCTTGTCTGGCCTACTGCTTCCTGACATTTATTTAACTCTGGTCCATTACTACACCCGGTCTCTCATGGCTCCATTGCTGTTACTCAGATTTTTTTTTTTTTTTTTTTGGTCATGGGGCTTGAACTCTGAGCGTGGGCACTGTCCCTCTTCAAGGCTAGCGCTCTACCACTTGAGCCACAGCACCCCTTGCGGTTTTCTGAGTGGTTTATTGGAGATAAGAGTTTCACTGTCTTTCCTGCCTGGGCTGGCTTGGAACCATGATCCTCAGATCTCAGGCTCCTGAGTAGCCAGGATTACAGACGTGAGCCACCAGCACCCAGCTTTTTTTTTTTTTTTTGGTCAGTGACAGAATACCTGTCACCAACAATTGCAGAAAAATTTAATTTTTGTTCATGATGTCTGAGGTCCTTAGTTGATCTGGGTGAGAAAGATGTGGTGGAGGCCAAGAGCCGGTGGCTCACGCCTATAATCCTAGCTACTCAGAAGGCTGAGGTCTGAGGATTACGGTTCAAAGCCAGCCCAGACAGGCAGGAAAGCCTGTGAGACTCTTAGCTCCAACTAACCACAGAAAACTGGAAGTGGCACTGTGGTTCAAGTGGTAGAGTGCTCTCCTGGAGCTGAAGAGCTGAGGGACAGCGCCCAGGCCCAGAGTGCAGGCCCCACGATTGAAAAAAAAAAATGTGGGAGGGTGGGCAGAGCAGCTCATCTCATGGTGGCCAGGAAACAGAGGGAGAAACTTCCTCTTTTTCCTCATGTTCTTCCATCTAGGCCCCTACCCTGTGGTACAGTGATGCCCACATTCAGTGAGGATCTTCCTCCCACAGCAAATTCAGTCTCTGGAAATTCCCTGACTGAAGTGTGGTTCACTAATTTCCCAGTTCCAGGCGCTTCTCATTCCAGTCAAGCTGACCCTCACAACTGCATACCCTGCCTGACACAAGATGATGTCTTCATTCTGGTTTTTTTCTGATAGTACATAGCACAGCACCTCATCCTCCACAAATATCTTACTCTACTTAATATAGACTTACTGTCTGGTCTATTTCTATAATAACATACCCAAGAACAGATAATTTATAAGGATAGAGGCTTATTTGCTCATGGTTCTGGAGGCTAAGGCTGAAGGCATCATACCAGCACCCTGGGGTGAGGCAGAGCTAGAGGATAACTTGCTTCTCTTCCTTTTATTTAAAGACTTCAGCTTCATCCTGAGGCCCCACCCTTGTGATCTTATCTAATCTCAATTGCTTCCCAATAATAATAACATGACGTTAAGGGTTGCGTTCCTAACACGTGGACTTTTGTGGGGACATCTCACCATAGTAATACTTGTTCCAAATAATACTAATTTTTTAATGTAATTTTATTGTTAGCATTAAAGTGTTGTACAGAGGGGTTGCCATTCCAGAAGTCAGATAATGAGTAAATTTCTTTTTTTGGATGCCACCAATAATACTAATTATCATGGCATTGTATCAAGATGCTGAAAACATGGCCTTGTGTTTAGTGGTTCATTTCTTTGTGTGTGTGTGTGTGTGTGTGTGTGTGTGTGTGTGTGCGCGTGCATGTGCACATTGCTCCTGGGACTTGAACTCCCGACGTGGGTGCTATCCTTGAGGGTTTGGGGTTTTTTTTTTTTTGGCTCAAACTAATACACTACCACTTGAACTACAGCTCCACTTCCAGCTTTTTTTTTTTTAGTTCATTTCGACTTTTTTTTTTTTTTGGGTCTGGTAGTGGGGCCTGAACTCTGGGCCTGGGCGCTGTCCCTCAGCTCTTTAGCTCAAGGCTAGCACTCTACCACTTGAGCCACAATGCCACTTCCAGCTTTTTCTGTTTATGTGGTGCTGAGGCATCGAACCCAGGGCCTCATGCATGCAAGACAAGCACTCTACCACTGAGCCACCTTCCCAGCCCTCGACATTTTTTATTTTATATAAATTAAAGAGGCATGTAGTATCCGCTTTTAGTCTCACTGTGTGTATCTAGAATCCTGTATAATTACTCATATTCTAGCATATTTTAGATCTAATTTCTGCATATCAGAGAGAACATTCGTCATTTGTCTCTATGAGCTTGGCTTCTCTCACTTACTATGATTTCTTCTAGTTCTATCCATTTCTATCCCAGCAAATGCCATAATTTTATTGTTTCTAATGGATATGTAAAATTCCATTATATATAGGTTCCATTTTTTGGGGGGGGTTAATTAGAGGTAAGACTGTCACAGACTTTCCTACCTGCACTGTTTAGTGATTGATTTCATTCATTCACTCATTCATTCCCAAGTTATTTATTCGGGTATTAAAGTGCCCAAACACTAGAAATTAGATGATGAATAAGAGGAGGTAGCTCCTCACAGGGCTGTCATGTTCATGTGACGTGGACCGAGCCTTACAAGCCAATACTTCAACCAGTGGTTAGTTAAAATGTTCATTGAAATAAAAACGAGAGGAATTTTATTCCGTGTTCTCCACATTATTTTTTTTTTTGTTCTGTATGTAGAGAAGTCACCTAAGTTGCAAAGCAAAACTCTGAGCCCTTGAATCAAAAATATATCAGATTTTCAAGCTGACAGCCACAGAGCCTGGAGCCACGCTCAGGATTTGTGGGCATGCGCACGAAGCAGGTGCTTCCATCCTGGGTGCTCCAATGAAATGGAAGATAAAACAGAGGAACTAGCTTGGCTTGACTTGAAATGCATGTCAGTGTCTTTATTTCTAAGGAGTTCCATAAGGTAACTGGAGGCCAAGCATTGAACAGAGCCCGAAGTTCTTATTCTCTCCTTCCAGACTGCTTGTCTTATTCGGCTCTGCAAGTCCTATCCAGAAGGTGCTACGGTAAGCAGAGGTGCACAATCCTGGTCAACAATGACCACTTTGGAAGCCCCTGTCTGCCAGGAGTGAAGAGATACCTCACCGTTACCTATGCATGCGGTAAGAACAAATAAACCTGCAATAAGCTCATAAAGACACAGCCTCTCTGGGGGTGCATTCTGCTCCCCTGGTTCCTCCCCAGCCTAGGCCCTCCTGTCTCCCTTTGCTGTCCCTTTTTCCTTGTTTAGGACATTCATATCAGATAAACAACAGAATTTTCTCTGGTCAAAATTTGTTTTAAGAGTGTGTGCTTCAAGCAATCAGATTGGCAGTGCGTGTGGAGGGCGGGGCTAGAGCAAGCAAATAGGGATACAGTTGAGTTGTCTGAGAACCGGTGATTTTAATCTGGGCTCTTAGGAAGCTCTGAAATTTATTGGCGAGTCATGCAAGTTCACAGTCGTATTGTTTGGCTCCAATTTAACCTTCCAGCACCATTTGTGGGCCCAAAACAACTAGCTAGCTCTGCTGCCAACAGCTATTTTATCTGCATACCTACAGGACAATTAAAAATGTCTACATGACAGAACTACTTTGTTCTTCCAGTGTCTTTGTTTCGATTTTAATTTCTTAAAGCTACTTAAAAGCAGACGAGTGAGCCCAGCATTCGTGACTCATGTCTGTGATCTTAGCTACTCTGGAGGCTGAGATGTGAGGATCAAGGTTTGGTGCCAGCAAGGGAAAGAAAGCCCATGAGACTCATATCTCCAATTAACCAGCAAAAAAAACCCAAAAAACAAAAAACCAGAAGTGGAAGTGTGGCTCAAGAGGTAGAGTGCCAACCCTGAGCAGAAAAAGCTAAGCGAGAACACCTTGGTACTGAGTTCAAGCCCTAGTTACAAAAAAAAAAAAAGCAAATGAGAAATAAGTGGTTAATTATTTTTTCTTTTGCAAGGTGCGATGGATTACATTGCCTTGTTGTGTTTTAATGAGTACAAAAGCAAAAGAAAGCAAGGAACTCTAGAGAACATGATACCTTTTCTCTTCTGGCTATCTCTCTAGTCTTCTTTGTTACAGATTTTATTGAGATATAGTTCACAGGCCATACAATTTGCCCATTGAAATACACAAAACAGGGTTTTTAATATATGCCTAGAATTGTGCAAGTGCGGTGAGAGAGAAGTCGCAGTCTTGGCAGAGAGAGATGATACGTCCAGGGTTTGCTGTGGCCAGGTAACCAGGGACATTGTTCTTGGGACCCAGAAAGAAGAAGTGATCTAATAGGGAACGTTTCATGTCTGCCGCAGCTCCAGTCTCTGGCACGGTCATGCTGCTAAGACCAGTGGTCCTTAGCATCCAGGGCATATTCCTCAGGCATCTTCACCTGGCACCAAGGCCACGTGGGCCTCCTGGACAAAGGGGTCACAGTTTAGGAATGGTGTCTGGTTGGAAATCCTGGGACATTTCTGGCTTTCACTCAGCACTTGGGATACAAATGAGGTTTTCTTGCTGTAGAGATGCCTTAGGAGCTTTTCTAAAGCAGGGCTGTGTGTTGTGTACCATTTGTGTTAGCTTCCTGTCTGCTTCCTGTCATCGATTCTCCCAGATTTCAACCAGGCTGAAGTTTCTGCCAGGCACTGGTAGCTCACACCTGTAATCCTAGCTATTCAGTGAGGCTGAGATCTGAGGATCACTGTTCAAAGCCAGCCCCAGACAGGAAAGTCCATGAGACTTCTAATTCCAATTAACAACCAAAATCCAGAAGTGGAGGTGTGGCTCAAATGGTAGAGTGCCAGCCTTTGAGTGAAAAAGTCCAGCAATAGCATGAGGATTTGAGTTCAAGCTCCTGTTCTAACAAAAATAATTAAAAAAAAAATTAAACTGCAGTTTTCCTGTCAGCCTGCAGCAGGCAGCGCTTGGCCTTCGGAACTCGTGCTTTGCCCTGTTTTCGTTGTGATCTTTTGTCCACTGCTCTGCCTGCGGATCTTGACAATCAATCGCTTGCTCTTAGGGTCAGTGCGGCAGAAACGTTCACCACTGCCACGACTCCCACCTGTCTGCCTCGCATCTGTCCTCTTTCCTCACATTTAGTGCATCCTGTTAGCATCTCACTGCTAGAATTTTCTAGGTATATTATGGAAGAGGCAGAGAGCTCCGGAGGGAGGCAGAGGAGGAGCTGGGAAGGGATCAGAGGTGGTTTGGAGTGGGTCATGGTCATTTGCTTACTGTGGCTCAGGAAGCTCATGTCCCACGTTCATGCAGCTTTATCGCTGTGTTCTTTCTATACCTTAATGTCACCCATTGTAGGTCAGCAAATTTTACTGGTTTGAGGTAAACTTAGGGCTACGTGACCATTACCACACTCCAGTTTGAAAACATTTCCTTGACCCCCTCAAAGTTACTTGCACCCATTTTTACTCCTACCTCTGATCCCAGGGAACCACTGATACAATTGCTTTCTCTAGATTTACCTCTCTTGGATATTTGTACAAATGGAATCATGCAGTCATCTTTTGTGCCTGGCTCCTCAGGACATGTACAGACTTTCCCCTAAACAATACAGTAGAAACGCCCATGACACAGCATGGTAGGAGGGACTGTGAGAAGCTAAAATTGTCTTTTTTTGATTGGATTCTCCCACATGTTGACATTGGTAAATTTTGAGAGCTGCCCTTTCACATGTATCATTGTCTGTGAGACTCTTATCTCCAATAAGCCACTCAGAAAACCAGAAGTAGAGCAGTGGCTCAATTGGTAGAGCGCTCGCCTTGAGCTGAAAAGCTGAGGGACAGAGAGCCCAGGCCCAGAGTTCAAGCCCCATGATTGACAAAAAAAAAAAAAAAGGGCCTAAAATTTCTTGGTCGTTTGCTAATGGCCATGAATTATTGGGGTATGTGCGGGGGGGCGGGTGGCTGATGACCAGTAAGCAATATGAATAAATGGTAAAACATGCTTTCTAATAATATTTACATTGCGCTGCCAACATACATGAACTATGACAAAAATTTTTTTTTTTTGGGTCTGGTCGTGGGGCCTGAACTCTGGGCTTGGGTGCTGTCCCTCAGCTCTTCAGCTCAAGGCTAGCGCTCTACCACTTGAGCCACAGCGCCACTTCCGGCTTTTTTCTTTTTGCTTATGTGGTGCTGAGGAATCAAACCCAGGGCCTCAGGCATGCAAGACAAGCGCTCTACCACTGAGCCATCTTCCCAGCCCCTATAACAACATTTTAAAGTATGTATTTAAAATATTTCTTTTTGATTTTTAGTTCCCAAGCACATCCTCCGAGCAATTGATCCAGCCATTGCTAATCTACATCCTTCTTTGAAGCAGAAAGATGGCGAATATGGTAATTGTTATGGCTTAATAGCAGCATTCCTCTTTAGTAAAGGTGAATGTCCCCTGACTGCTGTCGGCACACGCTGGGAGGGATGAAAAGGGAGGCCAGGAGGTGTGTTTGAGGGGCGTGATCTGGTAAGGATAGTGCCAAAGCTTCCAGTGATTGCAGCGGGTGGCCAGTGTTTTGTCTTGAGCTGGGCACTGGTGACTTACCATACCTGTAATCTAGCTATGCAGAAGGCTGAGCTCTGAAGACTATAGTTTGAAATTATTATGGGCAGGAAAGTCTGTGAGACTTTTATTTCTAAGTAACCAGCAAAAAGCCAGAAGTAAAAGTGTGGTTCAAGTGGTAAAGCACCAGTCCTGAGGGAGAAAAAAAGGCAGGTGAAGCGATGCCCTGAGTTCAAACCCCAGTACTAGCACCAAAAGAAAAAGAATCCTAAGCAGAATAAATTCACTCGCCATTCTTCTTTCACTTGTTAAAAGCAAAACACCAGTCTCAACAAGAGATCTGCTCAGTAATAAATTGGGATCCTGGGCCGTACAGGGAGCTTGTTGCAGAGATGATCCTGGCAGTAACCTGTGTGGACCAGAGCCCCTGCATGTGGTGCCGCTTCCAGTCAGTTCCGCCTGACTATCATAAATAGAAGGGGAAGGAATGGCCATGTTGACTTTCTTCTCAGATCTAAAATGGAAATTCAGCTCCATGGAGCTTCTGATAGAAAATGTAGAGACCCAACAGATCACTTAAGATGGTAAGCTGTGGGTAGTAAGAGCTTCATCTTGTGTTACTTTCATTATATTTATGAAGTCTGCCCGCACATTATACAATTTAAGTAAAGCAATCCCTCTGTGTCTGTGGGAGAATGGCTCCAGACCCCCCACACATACTAAATTCATTTGATGCTCAAGTTCCTTTTATTAAATGGTATAAGATTTGCACAAAGCCCACACATGTATTTCTGTATACTTAGAGATTATCCCTAGGAGGCTTATAAGCCCCAGTCCAATGTCATGTGTACCGTAGCCTTCACATGTATTGTTTAGGGAATGACAGCACAGAGACAAGTCTGTACATGTTCAATACAGCACATTCTTTTTCTCAGAATTTTTGATCTATAGCTGATTGAACCAACAGATGTGCAACCCTGAGATTCAGAGCGCTGATTCCATACTTTACATATATAGAGTTGATACAAAAACCACAGGAAAACAGCGAAAAATAGAAATCATCTCCAGTCCAACGCTTAGAGAGACCTACAGAATAACCCTGGCTTTCTACCAGGCCCTGTGACTCAGTCTCACTTCTCTTTCTGACTGGGCTCCCACATGAGCCCCTGAATATTCTGGTCCCCCTGTAGTCAGGGCCTGAGAGCTCTGTGACATGTTCCCAAGAGACGTCAGCCCTGACATTCTTAGGAGTCCCCAGCCCCTAGCCTGCCTAGCGCCATTGCTATGCTCCATCCAGACAGGTTACCAGCATTAGACACTAGATCATTTTTTTCATCATATTCACAAAGCAGACATACGCAGCCCCACTCCATAACCCAAGATCTGTCTCATCTCTCGCTCACAGAACTGACATCAGCTCTGTAGCAAAGTGAGATACTATTTCCCAAGCCTCTGAGAGGACAGACAAACGCCCCTGGCTCTGGGATGGGACAGTTAGGCCCACCTGAAGTTGGAGTCAAGACTTGAAAAAAAAAATTTTTTTTTTTGGCTGTGGGGCCTGAACTCTGGGCCTGGGCGCTGTCCCTCAGCTCTTCAGCTCAAGGCTAGCGTTCTACCACTTGAGCCACAGCGCCACTTCCAGCTTTTTCTGCTTATGTGGTGCTGAGGAATCGAACCCAGGGCCTCATGCATGCAAGACAAGCACTCTACCACTGAGCCACCTTCCCAGCCCAAGACTTGAAATATTTCTAATCCTTCTTATCATTCAGTTTGTAGGGACTGCTTATGAAGCGCTCTTCCTGGCTTAGTCTTCGGTGATTTAGTCAGAAACCCATGTGTTTCATGGCCATGACTTTTAATTATTGTGGCAGTCAGGGAAGGGAACAGAGGGTGTTTCGATTGGGCACACTGTGAACAATGCTGATGAATTGATTTTGCTTTTTTTTTTTTAATGAAATAGATATCAACTTTAACCCCAGTGGATCGAGGGTTCTGCCGAAAGATGGAGTTATTGTTAGCAACTCTTTGGCAGCATTTGCTTACATTAGAGGTAGGTCAATAAATCGAAGTTTCCTGGAGTACTAATGTATCACTAACAAGTACACCCATTCAATTGCAACACTCAGATAGCTAAAGAAAAATGATCTTTGGCTTGACCTGCCAACTGAAGCATCCCAGAAACACAAGATACAGACACACAGGAGACTGAATTCAAGTGTATCTGCAACCTGGCAACCAGGAAGAAACCCACAGGCCTAATACCACACTACTTAAGGTTGAGCTCCACAGGTATTTTCATCCCCTTGGCAAGTAGGAATGCATTTCCCAGGTCCAGATTTTCAGAAGGACGTGTGATTATAGTTTACCCCTCGTTTAAGGAAAAGAAACCAGATTACTTAGTACACAAAACGGGTTGTCACACCCTCTCCTCCAAGAAGCCAGAGTCACAGTCACAAGTGTTCCTTCTCATGGTTGCCAAGGTTTTCCTTGTTAACCTTCCCTGCAAGGATCAGGCTCCACCTTCCTGAACTGGCAGACGAAGGCTGGCATTGGGCCTTGCCGTGCTGCAGGTCCTCTTCAGGGAGCAGGCAACAATTTTTCCTTGCCTCCTTTTCTGACTATGCCAACACATGTTGTACCTTTGGAATGTTGACTGCAAGTTTCAACAGCGCCCGCTGGCCTGCCTGCTCAGGGCTGTGTTAGCTTCCCATCACTGCCACTTATAGACCTGACAGAGGAGCTCTTGGTTCCTGAGGTTTAAGTCCCCATTGTATTAAGTCTCAAGTGGCATATCATGGCAGATGCACCTGTCACACAGCCAGTCACATTTTAAACCAAGGCAGAGAGCACACCAGGGTCCCATACACAATTCCCCTCAAAAGCATGTCCCCAATGACCTAAAGACCTCCCGCAAAGCCCCACCTCTTGAAGGTAAACAGCATCTCCCAATACTGCCACCTTGAGGACCAAACTCTTCCATATAGCCCTTCAGAGGGACTCTCATACAGAGATGAAAACTTCCCAGGGACCTTTGATGAAAAACACAGTAACATAATAAGTAACAGTATTACTTAAGGCTTAAGGGAGCTGTGGCCACCTGGATAAGCCTTCCTCAGAGGGAAATAAAGTCTTAAGAGAATGTCTCAATCTAGGACACCGAGTTTTGCCCTGTCACTCTGTGGTTGAACCATTTCCACATCAGTATTTCTCCTGTGAGTTTGTCATGTGCTGTTTGATTTTGGTTTCATTGTTGTTTTATAACCATGCTCGCATTTGTATGTTTTGCTGTTCCTGATAAATGTCAAGGTTAAGAAGTAAAGGTGTCGGTGGCTCACACCTGTAATCCTAACTACTCAGGAGGCTGAGATCTGAGAATCCCGGTGGAAAGCCAGCCAGGCCGAAAACTCCTCATGAGACTTATCTCCAATTAATCGCTCAAAAACTGGAAGTGGCGCTGTGGCTCAAGTGGTAGAACACTAAGCTTGAGCACAGAGGGGCTCAGAGACAGTGCCCAGGTCCTGAGTTCAAGCCCCACAACTGACAAAAGAAAGAGAGAGAGAGTCCCATATTTTCAAAATCCCTGCAGAGCCCCTTGGAGAGAGAGAACCCTGAGGTTCCTGCAGACAGAAGTAATAACAGGGAGAAGCAGCGATGTCACTTGCAGTGGTGTCAGACAGAACAAGTCAATCCAACCTAAGCAGTCAGTGGATCAGCAGCAAGCACCAGACTGCTGAATGCCATCCTTGTCGCTGCCAGACAGAGGTGACCAGTCTCGGCTCCGTTGTGGGGTGTGATCTGGAGAGAAGCCACAAGTGGGAGCAGCTGGGAACCAAAAGCATGACTAGTCCAGGTTCTAATCCAGACCAGCCAAATGACTGAGGGAGCCCTGAAGGGCGTTCCCACGTTGGTGTGGTCCCGTATCCGTGGGGACAGTGGACAGGAAGCCAGGGCCTGGTGCCGGGGAGCAGGACAGTTGGTAGAACAGACATAAGAAGGTGCTGTGGCGGCTCCTCCTCAGGGATCTGTTAGGTGGGTTTTTCCCAGCCTAGGGAAGGGAATGCGTATACGCATCTGTGTGTGCATATGTGATTGTGTCCATGTGAGTGTGTGCGTGAGCAGGTGTGCATTTTAGGAAGGCAATGCGCTAGCCGGCTCAGCATGAGCCACTGCTCCCTGGAAGATTGTGTTTAAGGGACATATTTATTGAGACAGTCAGGCCTCTAAGTGTGACCCCCTCCCGCCCCTCTAATTAGTGTTTAATTGGCATCTGGTGGTGTATTTGCCCTCATACCTTTTGTGGCCCAATATGTCTCCCGAGCTGGCAGGTGCTGTGTCACCTAAAAGCAACCCTAGAGTAGCAGACAAACCATGATGGAAAGTTTAATCCCACTCCCAAAGTCACAGTGATGCCATCCCCCGCTGGGCAGGACAGACATTACAGGAAGTTACTGTCACCTGCCTGCGTGCTGTCACACCAGGCTGGGGACACTTTGTATTTCCCTCATTAGGAGCAGCCAGGCTGCTTGCTGTCGGGCTCCTCTTGATGGTGGCAAGGCCCCCGGAAGCAGGACCCAAGCCATAGCTCCTGGTGCCTGATCTGGACACAAGCAGATTTGAGCCAGAGTTTGTCCTGGCCGCAGCCCAGGATCTAAAGAGCCAAAGGGGCCTTAAAGGCTCTCAAGAGTGCGCTGAGGATGATAAGGAGAAAGCAGTTCATGGTCTTAGTCTGTGATGATGAACTAAATTTAGAGGCGAAGTTTGGAATAATAATAATAAAATATAGCAAGAAGTTTCTATTCAGCCCCAGCAAGAAGAATAGCTTGATCTTTTCAGAGTATGTAATAGAAAAGGGGTCACAAGCACCTAAAGGGGTCCAACAGGTTCCAGAAGATCGAGGAAGTGAATGTGTGTGTGCATGTGTATGTGTCAGTGCCAGTCCTGGACTTGAAGCCTGAGTGTCTGTCATCTCTGAGCCTTTTTGCTCAAGGCTGGTGCTCTACCCTTTGAGCCACAGATCCACTTTGGGCCTTTTGGTGGTTAATTGGAGATCAAAGTCCATGGGCTTTTCTTTTTTTTTTTTCTTTTTTGTTTGGGTCCAGTTATGGGCTTGAACTCTGGGCCTGGGCGCTGTCCCTCAGCTCTTCAGCTCAAGGCTAGCGCTCTACCACTTGAGCCACAGCGCCACTTCTGGCTTTTTCTGCTTATGTGGTGCTGAGGAATCGAACCCAGGGCCTCGTGCACGCAAGGCAAGAGCTCTACCACTGAGCCACCTTCCCAGCCCCTCTATGGGCTTTTCTGACTGGACTAGCTTCAGACTGGGAACCTCAGATCTCTGCCTCCTGAGTAGCTAGGATTACAGGCGTGAGCCACCAGCGCCTGGCTGATGAAGCGCTTTTGATATAAAGCCTGGGCATAGCATTCCAGCCAATGGTAGCTTTGGATGGGTGAGTGGGCTACAGCAGCTGGGGTTAGGCCAGCTCATCCCTAAAGTTCCATGGACCCCATCCAGGGACCACGCGACTTCAAGTTGTCGATTTGGGTGAACTGGAAGCCTCATTCCCATGGGTTTGAGGCTCAGCCCATGGTGTGGAGCTCAGCCACGGTACACCAGGCCTGGTGCTTCCGCCCATGATGCCCCACCCAAGACTAGGGAAGGATGAAGAGTGAAGGGAGGGAGAGGAGGGAAGGAGGGAGGGAGACCAAAGGAAGGATATGTGCAAGAATGCCAAAGCAGGAAACCCTGGACACCCACACAGAATGGAAATGCAGTGTGAGCGAGCTGTGAGTCAGAGCTGTGACTGCAGAGCCGAGGGACAGCGCCCAGGCCCAGAGCTGAATTTGGCAAGGTGACAGGCTGGGTGCTGCAAGCTTCCTTGGCTGTGGTGGCGACTTTGAGCTGATGAGAAGTGGGAGACTATTTGTGTTGTGAGTCAGGCAATGATGTGATTAAATGTATGCTTTTGAAAAGATGGAGAAGAGGGGCTGGGAAGGTGGCTCAGTGGTAGAGCGCTTGCCTTGAATGCAAGAGGCCCTGGGTTCGATTCCTCAGCACCACATAAGCAGAAAAAGCCAGAAGTGGCACTGTGGCTCAAGAGGTAGAGCACTAGCCTTGAGCTGAAGAGCTGAGGGACAGTGCCCAGGCCCAGAGTTCACGCCCCACGACCGGACCCCCCCCCCAAAAAATGGAGAAAATGAAGGGGGTGAGGGAGGAAGTTATGGAGCATTTGCTAGCAGAAAAGATGAAGCAGCAGAGTTCATCGTTTTCTATAATTTTTTCAGATAAATTCACTAGGTCCAAAAGTTACCTTATGAAAGGGAAAATACAAGCTACCAGTCATGCGGTAGCCACCGTATACCCCAGATTAACCAATTATTAGCCAAATGTGGTGGTATACACCCGTCATCCCACCTACTCTAGTTGTGTAATTAGAAGGAGGATCATGGTTCAGGTTGCTCAGGCAAAAATGTAAGAATTGATTTAAAAAATAATCAAAGCAAGCCAAGCACGAGTAAACCCCTGCCTGATATTATAACTACTCAGCTGAGACCTGGAGAATCATAGTTTGACTACTCTGGGCAGAAAAGTCTGTGAGACTTCATCTCCAATTAATTGGCAGAAAGCTGAGCTGGAGGTGTGATTAAATGGTACAGTGCCAGCCTAGTGAGCACAAAGCCCCGAGTGCTGCCAAAAATAAGTAAGTAAAAAGTCTAGCACAGCTGGGCCCAGTACCTCAAGCCTGTAATCCCAGCTACTTTGGAGGTAGAGATTGAAGGATCACAGTTTGAAGACAGTATAGGGGTAAAAGAAGTTCATGAGATTCTCTCTTCGCCAGTGGACACAGTGGCAGGTGTGTGTCATCCCCAGCGACACAGGGTAGCGTAAGTCAGAGGATCACCGCCCAGGCCAGTGAGGTATACAGCAAGACCCTTCCTCAAAAATAGCCAGTGCATAAAAGGGACTGGAACACTGGGCACTGGTGGCTCACACCTGTAATCCTTCCTACTAAGGAGGCTGAGATCTGAGGATCACAGTTCAAAGCCAGCCCAGGCAGGAAAGCGAGACTCTTATCTCCAGTTAGCCACCAGAAAACCAGAAGTGCTGTGGCTCAAGTAGTAGAGCGCTAGCTCTGAGCTAAAGAACTGAGGGACAGCACCCAGGCCTCAGAGTGCAAGCCCCATGACTGACAAAAAAGGGACTGGAGTCATAGCTCAAGTGGCAGAGCATGAGCCGAGTGAGCAAGGTAGTAGTGACCACCGTGTGATAGAAGTCCCCTGGTGGAGGAGGCTGGGAGACACAACCCAGACACAGGCTGTCACCAAGGCTGGCAGTCCCTGTAGGAAACATATTCAGAGAACAAAAGGGATTAAATAAATAAAGAAGGGCCAATCAGTAGAATGTGTTGTGTCCTAAGGGTTATGACTAATTTAATTCCATTAATCTAAAAATCCTGAAAAGGAAATAAATGGACCCAGAAGCCCAGGGCTCATATCTGTAATCCTAGCTACTCAGGAGGCTGAGATCTGAGGATCGAGGTTAGAGGCCAGCCTGGGAAAACAAATCTGAGAGACACTTATCTCCACTTAACCCCCCAAAAGCTGGAAGTGGAGTTACAGCTCAATTGGTTGAGTGCCATCTTTGAGTGAAAAAGCTAAGAGTCAGATCTTGAGTTCAAGCCCCAGGGGTCTGTCTGTCTGTCTGTCTACAGACAGACACACACACACACACACACAAACAAGAAAAGAGTCACCATAGCAAGTCTGTTGTGTGGCTGAATCAGGCCTTGAACTTGAACTTGACCCTGCCCGGCCCGCACTGCACCACTGCTTGGACAGTAGAGGTGTCTCACTGTTCCTAGAGGCTGCACTGGGCTGGAATTCCTTCTTCCTGGAACTAGCCATTCTCAATCTGGATCCACTTCCTTATCCACAGCAGCCCACCACTACCAACAGGGCTCAAGGGTTCTGTTTTCCAAGGAGGAGGAGGAGCTGGGTGGTGGCTCACTTGAAATTCTGTACCAGGCACCACAGAATGGGTGGACTGCAGGGGAGAGAGGCTCAAAGATTTGGTGTGTGAAGGGACTGGAGGAGGGAGGAGGAAGAGGAACGGAAGAGAAGGAGGAGGTCTCAGTCCATTAGCTACTACCAGGGGCCCATCACAGACTGGGTGGATGATAAAGGAAGAGATTTTTGTTTGGCCTACTTGCTGGCAGAGTCCCAAGCAATACAGAGTATACACAGTGACAGACAGCCTGTGACATGTGTGTGTGTGTGTGTGTGTGTGTGTGTGTGTGTGTGCACGTGCATGCATAGGCCCTCCTGCTTCTACTCACAAAGCTACACTGGGGGCTCCACCCATGGCTCGATGTAGGCTTCACTCACTTAATATCTCATTTCCACATAAGACACCATGGGGGAGACTCGAACCCCAACCAAAGCAGAAGGCAACAGTGAGGCCTGATCTGCAGGCAGGGGAGAACGAGAAATGTTGGGTTGGAGTCTACATATATTTTGTATGTGACTAACAATTTCACCCCAAGTACCAAAGTGTCTCTCCATCGCCAGTCCGTGACCGCTGTGAGGGGCGATGAGCCTTTCCCATCCTCCGAAGCATATGTACCTCTATCTGAGCAATCCTTTATACACCTTGACTCCATGCAAGCTCCACCATTTTACCAATACCACTGTAGACATGGCTGGGCTTCAGCGGGGATCCAGAGAGCATGGATGTCTTCAAGAGAGGGAGGGGATGATGCTGTCAGGGCTTTGAAGTTGAGAAAATTCAGAGAGGGCTGATGGCTTGAACGCATGCTCGGGAAGAAAGTGGACTGGGCAGGTTCCACTTCCAAGAAGCTAAGGTGTCCCAGTTTCATCTCTCAGTGGACTGCATTCCTCCACTGCCCTAGTGTTTGAAAGTCCGCCTGGGCCTCGGGGGAAGTTGAGTGGCCGTGAAGACAAGTCTTCATTATTTGCTAGGATAAAGGGAGTGGCTAAGGAGCCTTTGTTCAGTTAGGGTGTTCTGGGAAAATGTCCTAGGGACCATGTGTGCCCCACTGGGAGCTAGCTCCCTGATCAAGGTCTGAGTTCTAGTCCTGGCTTGCCTGAGCAGGCCACCAACCTCCAGGAAGCAGCTTCCCCTCTGTGTCTGGCCTTGAACATCTATATTAGGATATTGGCAAACTATTGTCTGGGGACCAAATTTATGAATAAAGTTTTATTGGGACACAGTAGTGCCTTGTGTTTTCTACACCATCAATGAATGCTTTTGTACTCTAAGAGCAGAGCTGGATATTTGCAACCAAGACTATATGGTCCATCAAGCCTAAAATGAGTAGACTTGTCTGCTCATTTGTGGGAGGTCTGTCACCTCTTGGTTCCTAACAGGAAGGAGTTTATGGGTCCTTCTCTTCCAGGATGGAGATGCCAAGATCCCAAGGGGTCTCCACGACATGAAGGAGAAACAGGGACAGAATAAAAGTCTCTCTCCTCCCCCCGCCCCAGGCTAGTGTGAAAGTTAAGTAAATATGAGGTCCCAAGGCACCCAGTATGTATTAGTATGTAATTAATTTTTTTATTGTCAGTCATGGGGCTTGAACTCTGGGCTTGGGTGCTGTCTCTGAGCATTTTTTGCTCAAGGCTAGTGCTCCATCACTTTGAGCCACAGCTCCACTTCCAGTTTTCTGGTGCTTAATTGGAGATAAGAGTTTCACAGACTTTCCTGGCCCAGTTGGCTTTGAACTGCAATGCTCAGATCTCAGCCTCCTGATCAGGTAAGATCACAGGCATGAGCCTCCAGTACCAGGCTTGTATTTAAATTTTCTATCACTATATTTAGAGGATCTTTGTGGAGACTAGAAAAATGACTGGAACTTGTTTTTTTGTTTTTTTTTGTCGGTTGTGGATCTGAACTCTGGGTCTGGGCACTGTCCCTCAGCTCTTCAGCTCAAGGTTAGCGCTCTACCACTTGAGCCACAGCGCCACTTCCAGCTTTTTCTGCTTATGTGGTGCTGAAGAATCGAACCCAGGGCCTCATGCATGCAAGGCAAGCACTCTACCACTGAGCCACCTTCCCAGCCCAGAACTTGCTATTTTTTTAAGCTCCAAAAAAGAAAGGCATTAAGTTTTGGTAGCACAAACCACACAAATACTTAAGCTCTATCCTATACTAGATACAAAAACTAATCACTGCTACTAACAGCTGATAGGTGGTAGTTGAACAGGATTGCCTGTGTGGATGTGGGCACTCTAAGAGCTATTCTGAAATGAGCCCATTTCATCAGAAGGACTCTATAACAGCAAGGCATTGCTAGCTCTTTGTCCAGATAAGAAACTGAGGCACGGCTGGGCGCTGGTGGCTCACGCCTGTAATCCTAGCTACTCAGGAGGCTGAGATCTGAGGATCGCGGTTCAAAGCCAGCCCGGGCAGGAGAGACCGTGAGACTCCTATCTCCAATAAACAACCAGAAAACCGAAGTGGCGCTGTAGCTCAAGTGGTAGAGCGCTAGCCTTGAGCTGAAGAGCTGAGGGACAGCGCCCAGGCCCAGAGTTCAAGCCCCACGACTGACAAAAAAAAAAAAAAAAGAAACTGAGGCACGTGTGAACGGCAGGTCTGGTTTAAAACCCAGTGGAGACCCGTGAGTCCCCTTCCACGTAACCTCTCAGATGAGTCCAGATATCAGCCATTCTCGAAAACTTGTTCCTCTCTGGGGAAGAGATCCATTAGGTGTGGCTGGTCCACCTATGCTGCCCAGGACTGGGCAGGATGTGGAGTGGGAAAGAGGGACAGTCGCTCCACCTCCTGACCTGTCCTCTTCCTCCCTCAGCTCATCCGGAGAGAGCCGCCTTGCTGTTCGTGTCCAGCGTCTGCGTGGGCCTGGTCCTCACGCTGTGTGCGCTGGTCATCAGAGTGTCCTGCGCCAAGGACTGGCGGGAGCTGCGGCAGGGGAGGGAGCCCCTGGTGCTGGGCAGCGACGAGGCGGAGGAGGACAGCGAGGAGGACGAGGAGCAGGAGCACTCCTCTGACTCTGACTTCCCCCGGGAGCTGACGGGCCTTCGTCGAACTTCCTATCCAGCCTACAGCTCCATCGAGGCCGCCGAGCTGGCGGAAAGGATCGAGCGCAGGGAGCAAATCATCCAGGAAATCTGGATGAACAGCGGCCTGGACACCTCGCTTCCAAGACACATGGGCCAGTTCTACTGAGACTCAGTGGCATCTGAGAGGGGAGCGTCCACTCGCGTTCCTTGGGCTTTGATTTCCTTGTACCTTCTATGAAGGAGAATCTGTCATGTCACCCAGGACTGGTGGAGGCGGAAGGCTGTCCACGGCGCCTCTCCAGATGTTTACGGCACATCCCAGAATAAATGAGGAGGGAAGAAGTCTTTGTGGTCTCTCCTTACTTGGAGTTTATGTGCACATGTTCCCTGTCCTGTCCATAGTTACCGCCATACTTCCGATGCACTGTCCCGGCTGCTTGCGTGGAGGTCATTTAAACCCTCACTCCAAGCTCATACAGCTGCTACCCACCCCACAGGTGCGGAAGCAGAGTCGCAGGGACAAACGGCTCGCCGTAGCTGAACAATTCTTCCAAGTGCAGTCCAACCAAAAACAATCCAAGGAAAGGTCAGAAACAAACCTTTTAAAATCTGCATATGTTTGTCAGATGCCAGGGGCTTGCGCTTATAATCCAAGCTAGGATTACAGATCTCAGGAGACTGAGCTCTGAGGATCACGGTGCTCTGAGGATCACGGTTCGAAGCCAGCCAAAGCAGGACAGTCGGTGAGACTTTTATCTCTAAATAACCAGCAAAAAGCTGTTAGCAGGACTATGGATCAAATGGTGGAGTGTTAGCTTTGAGCAAAAAAAAAAAGCTCAGAGACAGTGTGCAGCCCCTGAATTCAGCACCTCGCCCCAAGCCCCATAAAAAAAATAATAGAAGTAAATTTTTTAAAACAATCTGCATGCATGAATGCCACAGCTCAGTGGACCAGGAGAAGCAGCCTCTCTGTCCCAGACTCCTGGCCATTGGGTTGAATTGGTGTCATCTGCTGAGGGTATTGTGAAAATTGCTCCTGCAAAAACAAATAGTGCCCCCCCAAAGCAAAGTAAAAGCAGAGGAGCCTAATTTGAGCATAAAGGAAAAATTTGAGATTTGGTGAAAGGTGACCTGCCTCCAGAGGAAGTCACATGGCGTTATGGGAAAAATGAATCAAGCATCCTCAATACAGCATGGAAGTCTGTGGGTCTAGAGGATCACAGGTTTTTCTAGGAGGAGGGGGCTCCTGGGAACCACAGACCAATGGGTGCCAAAGATCTACTATAAGCACACCAAAAAACCCAAACTGATTCTCAGGACCCCAAGCATGAGCTCTTGAGTGAGTCTTCATAAATCTTTCTTTTATGCTGATCATATGAGTGCTGGGATTACAGATGAACACCACCACAGGACCACAAGCCATCTTCATCCCGAATATTATTCCTTTCGTTTCTTTAACTCTTGAGGTATTCCATCTCCGCCCAATTCCAGAGAGGCAGCAGACTGATGATAGTAGTCTTTGTTTTCAATTCCCAAGTAGCCTTCTCTTGTGAGAAAATAAGTACTGTCCATCTCTCCTCCTCCTCTTCCTCTTTTTTGTGGTACTAAGGTTGCTAGGTAAGTGCTCTACCACTTGCTGGAATCTCCATCGTGTGTGTGTGTGTGTGTGTGTGTGTGTGTGTGTGGTGGTTTATTTGTTGTAGATGCTGGAGCTTGAACTCAGGGTCTTCTGCTCAAGTTTTTTCTACTCACACTTGGTGCTGAGCCACTCCCCCAGGTCTGGCTTTTTGCTGGTTCATTAGAGATGTGCATCTCATGGATTTGTCTGTCCAGGCTGGCTTCAAACCATGATCCTCAGATCTCAACCTCTTGAGTAGGATTCTAAAATATGAGCCATTAGTACCTAGCTACCCTGGGTACTTTTTTTGAGTTAGTCTTGTCTTTACGCCTGGACCCACCTGGCATAAAGACCTATGTTTTTCATGTAGCTGGGATGGCAGGCACACACCACAGTGCCCAACCTTTATTACTTGACATGAGGCAGGTAGATAAAACAGTCTGTGGTTACCCTGACCACTTGTAATACCAACCCATCAATATACTCTGGCCTAAAGAACGGCCCACGATGCCTCCTACACCTCATGACTGTCAAAAAGTACTGATAAATGCACTGTGCACCAGACACGTGGGCGTCTACTCTGATAACAAGGATAGTTGCTCAGCAAAATAAAATTCCTCTCAAATGGCACGTGCACAGCACTGCCCAGCACTTGGCTGTCTTCAGTCAACTCCCAGGAGAGACCTCTATTAAAGCCTCATGTTTGTGCATGGCATATCATTAATATCATCACAACAGAATGCATATGAGAATGGATGAGTGTGATAGGAAAACCACCACCTGCCACCCGCCACTCAACACTGTCTTTCATGACGGGCCCTCTCTTGAGGGACCCTTCCTGTTCCCCTCAGCCCACAGAAACCTTAGATTGTCTCAGACACCATTCCTCGGGAACGTGGGGTGCTCTTGCTCAGGCCTGCTCCCCCAAGGTGGAGTGTATTCCCACTTTCTGCTCTTTACTTTTTTTTTTTTTTCCGGTCATGGGCTTGAACTCTGGGTCTGGGCGCTGTCCCTCAGCTCTTCAGCTCAAGGCTAGCACTCTACCACTTGAGCTACAGCGCCACTTCCGGGTTTCTGGTGGTTCCTGCCTGGGCTGGCTTTGAACCACAATCCTCAGCTCTCAGCCTCCTGAGTAGCTAGAATGACAGGCGTGAGCCGCCTGCGCCCGGCTTCACTTCAACAAACCTGCACTTCCCTCACCACCCGTACAGCATTTCACTCAGGTCTTTGTTTGCGACCTGGAGAACCTCTAATAACACTTAATCGACACTACCACCTGATAGCAGAGCTGCGGGAGGGGCGCGTGGACTTTTTGCCCAGGCTAGCCTCAAGCCATGATCTTCCCCATCTCCGCCTCTCAAGCAGCTGGGATTGCAGCCACCATGCCTGGCTAGCTTGGCTAATGCCTTCCTTCTTGGAGCTGGAGAAAACACAGTGACAGAGGCTGTCCACTTATCTGTTGGAGAAAGAGCTGTATCTACACTGATCTCACAAACCTTCTCTGGAATTCTAGAATGTCCTCTTCTCTGTGTCTGCTACACACACACACACACACACACACACACACACACACACACACACACACACACACGATTCCCCTTAGGACCCTTGCAGCGGCAGCTAGAAGACAGGCCTGCCAAGACAAGGGTCAGTCTTTGGCCTGTAGAAACACAGCGAGTTATTAATTTGCATTTGCGGAGCCCGGCTGAAGAATGCCATGTTCTTCTGGAGGAAGAGCGGAGGATCCTACTGGGATTGTGTTTGGATGGGCACCAAGCCCAGGAAGCAAATGAGGAAACAAGCTTTGGATGAGTTTCTGCCTCTGGACCATCGCGGGCTGGGAGGGAGCTCCCAGGTGGAAATCTGCCCAGGCTTCTTGATGGCCATGAGCATCTCTGGCCAGCAGAGTCCCTGCCACACCCAAGCTGTGGGGTCCTGAATGTCAGCCATTGCTGGGTGATTTGCACACGTCACTACGTGGTTTCTTGTTGCCAGCGCTGACCTGCAGGACTGCTGGGCTCTGGGGCCGCTGTGCGGACTCATCCAGGGACCAGGCCAGGCTCCGTGGAGCAGCCCCACTGCAAATCCACCAATGGAGCAGTGCGCCATGCTGGTGGCTGTCCGCCTATCCCAGGCAGGATACCCCTGGCCCAGAGGCTGCAGGGTGGCTGGGAATGGCTCTCTTGCTGTCTTCTGCAGAGCGGAGGAGCACCACGTGTCCATTGGCATTTCTCTGGAGAGCACTTTGCAATAACCCACTCCTGCTGCTAACCCTGGAGGCACGCAGTGGGCCAGGTCTGTGTCCATCCCCGGGGGCCTGCATTACCGCTGCTGTGAGATCAAAGGCGTACCCACAAGAGCCTCCCCCCAAGCTACTCGGCCTTTCTCCAAGAGTATCTGGTAGCTTCCTGCTCCAGTTCCCCTGGGGAAGCCACAGCCTAGAGCTGAGACTTCCCAGGCAGGTCAGGGAGCTGAGCAAGTGAGTGTCTTCAGCTGTTTTTCATTGCTATAACAAACACCAGGGGCTGAGAAATGTATAACCCATGGAAGTTTTTCTTGGTTCATAGTTCTGGAGGTCCAAGAACACAGTGCCGGCATCTGCTTCACCACTGGGGAGGGCTGAGTTCTGCTCATCGCATGATTGATCTGTTCACCAGGGTAAACAGCTCTTCACTTCCCAACAATGTCCTGCAGACTGGTTCTTTACCAGGTGAACTTTGAGTGACAAACCATATACAAATCATGGCATCAGCCTCCTACCTGCTTTTTGTTTTGTTTTGTTTTGTCAGTTATGGGGCTTGAACTCTGGGCCTGGGCACTGGCCCTCAGCTCTTCAGCTCAAGGTGAGCACTCTACCACTTGAGCCACTATGCCAGTCCAGGTTTTTGGAGTGGGTTATTGGAGATAAGAGTCTCACAGACTTTCCTGCCTGGGCTGGCTTTGAACCATAATCCTGAGATCTCAGCCTCCTGAGCAGCTAGGATTACAGGCATGAAATACAAGCAGCCAGCTTTCTACCTGATTTTATAGCAGAGGAAACTGTTGTTCCCACAAACCCACATAACCCCCAAAAGCACCCCACCCTGCAGCCTCAACCTCACCCTGCCAGCCAGGCCCTGGAAGCGGATGGGCTGTGGGCTGGGGAGGAAGGAGGCTCTTTGGCTTGTGTAGGTTCTCACAGCTTTCTCAGGGGACTCAGGAAGGGAAGGTGACAGCAGTGGCCGGTTACTAGCCACAGTGGGGTGTTGCAAAGCAGAAAGGAGTGGATGGGGTGTGTGGCTGGGGCCATACCACCTTGGGACTGTACAAGGCCAGGAGCTGGGCCTGATGGGGACACACCCACAATGATGAGCAGAGCCTGGGGTATTTATGCCTGATGTGCCCTTGGTCAGAGATACCTGCTTTATTTTGTCACCATGAATTGGACAGCTGACTCTGACCTCATGCCCAAGATACTGAGCCCTGGAGATGTGAGGCTGAGATCTGAGGATCGAAGTTCAAAGTCAGCCTGGGCAGGAAAGTCCATGAGACTCTTATCTCTCTTATCTCAAATAAACCACCTGAAAACCAGAAGTGGCACTGTGGTTCAAGTGGTAGAACACTTGCCTTGAGCTGAAGAGCTGAGGGAAGTGTCCAGGCCCAGGCCCAGAGTTCAAGCCCCACAACCAACTAAAAATAAAAATAAAAAA